TTTTACAATGTGGGAAGACACTTGACGATGATACTTTATTGGGGAAGACTGTAAGTAATTCTCGATTTCCATGCATAATTATGAGTATGTTACATGCTTCTGCCAACTGTAAATGGTTCACTGAAAGGCATCGATTATATAACCTTTCATTGTGTTCGTAATTGTGCATGTAGCAACTAGTCAAATATATTTGTAAAGGAAATAGTGTAAGGATTAATCTACGGGTCCGTCTATTTAACTACACCGCGACTTTTGTAAGAAAATGAGGTGGATTAATCGACACTGACCATGGAAGACAGAAAAGTCTGACTGATATTGCCGGGGCACTAGATCAGCTGAATTGTTCGTCAAAGAATTCTGTCTGTCGTCCCATCGGCCACCCAAACGACTCTCTTCTGTGCCTAGACGTCCGACTTAGGCATCCAGGTCTCCGGCCAGCACTACAATATCTGTTGAAGACACTTTTTGTAGATCACTTACCTGGTAGTAGAACTCATCCTTAAATGCATCTGGTCTGCTGTCTGTCCGACCAAATTTCTACCACAGGTGACCTGCCATATGAATTGATAAATAAAGGAATATACCAATTGGGATAAAAGGGAATATACAAGTGATACGATGTAAAATATGAAGGAATGTTACCGAATAGTTGTAAGTACAATTTATGAGGGTGAAAATAGAAGTGTGATTGATTTATTTAGTTCTGACCATCATTTGATTTATGTGTGGTCTGAAGGACTGCCTGAATGCCTAAACCAAATCAAGTGATTTTATTAGGACGATACTACCTAACCTTCAACTTAGAGGTTTGATCTACATGGCAGTGGGGTGACGTTAGGAGATGACGTCCCATGGTAGCCGGTGACCAAAAATGGGTTCAGACTCCGTTTCTTCCTCATTTCATGAAGTTTGTTTAAAAATCCATGTGACATATCATAAAAACTTGAATTCAACCATCTGTTGCGACCTTATACATTTGATAATGTATATTGACGATACTCGTCTATCATTTAATACAAACACGTTAAACATTGAACAGTGCAACTCCAGGTTCTACGTTGCGTAGTTGAAATTTTTGATTCATAATTACGTCAAGTTGGCACTGATTTACTCAAATTACACTGAAACTAAAGTGTTCTAACGTTACAGAAACCTCATTCATTAAATGCGCACTCACCTTACATGACTCAAAATGTAAGTCATTATTTTGGCTTATTGTCTAGGTCTTTTTTCCTCCATCTATCTTTTAACAAGTCGACTATTTACGGCTCATGACTAAAAGACATTTGATAAAAAATGCCCTGGTATGGCCGAGAGTAGGGAGAGTCCGCTCTCCCTCTCAAAATGCTCTCATATGGCCACGCGTATATAGCCTCTGCCAGGGAAGTCCTACTCACTGCCTTCTCGTGGCAGGGGTGTTGTTTACGAAAAATGAATGTTCGGCTCTTTAACCGGGTTGGTGGACATGGAGAGTCCACCCAGGGGACTTGGAAAACCCTGATTCCAAACCAATGGTGCACATGAGCTCCAGTATCCTGAGGGAACAAATGGCGTTCGAACCAATTGTTGGTCACCGGTTACCATGGGACTGCATCTCCTTACGATGTTCCACTGCCTTGTGGGTCAGACCTTTAGGCCAAAGGCTTGGGGTGTGACCCTCTAAGAAAACCAAATGCTTCGGTTGGGGCACCCGGGCAGTATCACAGCCCTCACACTTATCAAATGAGATTTGTGTGGCGCATATGTATTTGGCTCTTTTTTGTACCACTGTTTATGTGTTCAAATAAATAAATATGGCATAGCATAAGGAAAGACTAGTTCTTGGTGATCTCTTTATTTCATACACATTTCCCTTTATCATTTTGAAAAGAACAAGAACAAAGATTCTAGCAGAATAACATGAATTCATTTTATTTTGTAGGTTCTCGTTAGCTGCTTACAACCTGTGGTATTTAAAAAGATAATAATTACATAATGGGTTTAAATTGCTTACATGAGAGGGTTTATATTGGAAAAATATTCGTAAAGTATGACTTAGGTGTAAATGAAATTAATAGGCTGAATATTGTAAATATATACCTGATGTGAAAGAATATTCTAGAGCAATTTAAACTCATTATTATCTTTTTAAATACCACAGGTTGTGAGCAGCTGACGAGAACCTACGAAATAAAATGAATTCATGTTATTCTGCTAGAATCTTTGTTCTTGATCTCTTTATTGTCATCTTCAGTGATGTTAGTTTCGTTCTTATTAGCTTCGGTAACTTGACCTAACTGACTAATTATATGATGGTTATGTAGCAAAAGCATGTTCGGGCACTTTTGAAGTGTTCGAATTCTCTGTGGCTTGTACATATGTGAAATAACAAAAGGTAGTTGTTTGTTTTAATTTTTTCCGTGTTAATTTTGTTTATCGAATTGACATCGGTTGTTTCTCATCTTCTTTTAGGACACAGAAACGTCTTATGAATATCCTAGCTTATCGCTAATTCATACGTCGAATTCACAGCAAGAAACCTTGCATTATCCGTCTGACTCACCTCCTTATATGCTTGTCCAGAGATCAAGAGAATCACTGGAGAAGAATTATAAGTCGTCTTCAAAACAGATTTCTACTAGAGGTCCTCTTAAAAGTGATAGTGGCTCCAAACGAAATAATAGTGGACATTTTCTTATGGATAGTGAAAAAAGCCGAAACCTGGTAACAACGTTTATTATGTCAGGAACTTTATGGTGTATAAACTTTATATGCTTTATGTTTTAACAATTTGATATATGGTTGTTAAATAGGTGATTCAATCTACAAATAATCACATTGGTTTATGTTGGCGTATTTGGATTAATTTTATTGGACAAGCTCCTCGACTCTCCATGAGGTATAAATTTTGTAGTGGCTCCGTACACGCGTACGTGAATTTATTAGTCTGGATAATAGTAATCAGACAGGATGTTTCAAATTAATTATAAGAGCGATTAAACACAACATTAGTACACCAGCACATAAACTTCTGAACATGTTAATTTATATGATTAGATTAATCCTATTTATGTATCACATGGTTCTAATAACATTTACCCTCTCACTACAATATACAAAGTTATCAAAATAGATGTCGTAAAATTATTTTTTTCGCTATCATTACAATAACTCGAATTACTATAGTGACTTAAGAAGAATTTAATGATAGATATAGATATGCTAGAAGACTGCAACTAAGACAAATCAGAATTCGAAACACCCCCAGTAAAACCCGTACGAGCAGCCTAGAGTCCTGATTGGTCCTGCTTCCTGCCTAACCCAGCCAGTTAAGTCCAGAACGTCAATCTGAGCCTCTGCGATATGCATCATTATATTTCAAACATACTGAGTTTATATACTAATCAAACAAACCACAACGGACCATAAAATAGAAAACAACATTTGTACAAGATTTGGCCAAAAGTGACTGTGAATGTGGGAGGCAGTGATTAATAGAAAGGGCATAATTCAAGAATGGTAAAACGTATAATAATAGTTCATAGGTTAAAATAAAGCTTATTATAAGAGGAATATGAATATGAATAGTTTAGCTGTTTAACAATTATACGTTAAAAATATACGTTTAGTATTAGTCCATAAATAGATCCCAAAAGTTACTATTCATTCTGCTTATCGTGACATAACAATAAGAAAAGTGATTTCTTAAGGTGGTGTCTATTATTATTTAAGATTTCTATGGTTTACCGTCTAATATTTCCTTTGATTTGACTAGACATTAATTCTCAAATTCTTATTCTTTCTTAGATAAACTCAGAAAACACCGATATCGGTCAGTCGAAATCAAATATGCTGAATATATTTTATGATCCGTTGGGATTAGAAACAACTAATTGTGATGACAGTGGTTATCCGGTAGTTGGCAGTATTAAAAAGATGTCTAATCCTTCACATAGTTTTCATCCATCTGATGGCAAACACAATCTGCTTGAATCTAAAGACAATGCTCTAAATGTTATTAGCACAAAAATGAATGTTTGTATGGATGATACGTTTTTATTAGAATTTTTAGACAGAAATTTGACTGGAACTGATTCCAAAACTAATGTCGATTTCGCCGAACGATGTGGTTTAAATTCTCCAACAGCCTTTGTCGAAGATATGATTAAAAAAGCACAGAAAACTTTAAATCATCAGTATAAATGCTAACAGTTTTTTAATTAACTTTCCATTCCGTTTTTTCTGTATTAATCTCAACTGCATTGATATACCATAGAACAGTCCGACGTTTTACTGCGGGTGTTTCGAATTCTGATTTGTCTTAGTTGTAATCTTCCAACATATCTATATCTATCCTTAAATTTTCCGTAAGTCACTATAGTAATTCGAGTTACGACATCCATTTTGATAACTGTATATTTTAATGAGAGGTTAAATGTTATTAGAACCATGTGATACATAAATAGGATTAATCTAAATTATAAATTAAAATGTTAAGAAATTTATGTGCTGGTGTACTAATGTCGTGTTTAATTGCTCTTATAGCAACCTAATTCGGTTCAAACTCCAGTCTGATAACTCATGATATACTCGTGATATATGACCACAATGTCTTAGCTTTAAAATTTATGCGGTAAAGATACTCATCAGGAATTCGTAAAAAAGTACTTGGATGCTACTGTATTCGTTTCCGTCAATTCACTAACTGAATCGCGTTCATTTATTTTTTCTTCTATTCTATATTCTGAATTCTGAAATATCTTGTCTTGTTTGTAAATTGAATGTCATTTATGTATTCTTAGGTACTTTTTCATGTACGCTTCGCAGTGTAGTTGCGTGAACTAATTCATGTGCATATAAACCAGAGATTTACTGAAATGTAAAATCGAACTCATCTTGATCATTTTTGAGTGAACCCGGTTTACATTTAATAATGTTTCTCACTTTCCGTTTTCTATGTTTTTGTTTATGTTTTACAAAATCTATTTTGAACGCATGTGTGAATCTTTCGATAATTTTAAGAATATGTATTTTCAAGTAGTGTAGATTGTAAGTTAGTGAATTCTACTAAATGGGAAGCTGAAATTTTGAATTAAGAACATGCGATGATTAGGCTAACTAAATTTTATTTGATTTAAATATTAGGCGTAAAACAATATAAGTTGGTTACTCATTTTGAGGAAAAGAAATTGGAGTATATTGACTCATGCTGAAATAAAGTTTTATTATCGATAAATAGGTATTTCACATGAATAGTGAATCGAATCATAAAATAAAACCAAAGATGAGAATTGTGTATTTTAAAGATTTGTTTAAGAAAGTGCAAATAAATCACTCAAATGTTGAAACGTCCCAAAACACGTTTAGCGTGTCAAATATGTAATTCATAATGGTTTTACCATGCATCGCATTTTGTAACAGGATTCATTGGTGAACCAACTGGACAACCATATGCACGTGCGAATCTTCTACTATTGACCAACGCCCCGATCACTCTTTCAAGGTAGAGAAAACAAAATTATTTCGTTAGTTTGTAGAGCTGTAAACGAAATACACAGATACTGTAAAGTTTGCTTACTGAAACTACTGTTTTCTGATATTGTGAAAGGTTAATCAGATTCAAGGTAAAGTAGGCGACTTTCAGTGCAGTTCTAGACCATCAGAACTCATTACTTTCTGAGTTTTTATAGCCGTTAGTATTATCTGACCAATAACAGTTATATGGTATTCAAGCATAATAGTGTTCATTCTCGTTACTGAATATAATACTGAATACTTGTAATTCTTCGTTACATACTGCAACATCTGCTATGAAAACTTCAGTTTGTGTCAACAAATATTTCAAGTCATAAATTTTAGTATAACATATGTGATTAAGATCGTTATAAATTCTTACCTAAACTTTTCCAAGACATGAGGTATAACTACTGCACTTTGTGTAAGTATTTTCTCACCGTGATGTCCACACATAGCCTTGAAAATGGGATAATGGAAACAGTTGAAAAGTACATTACTAGTTATTTGGTGATAAAACAAGACATGATTATATTTAAGCTGACATTGCACTTATTATACATTACTTAAAGTATACATCACTCCGCCTTGAGCCCATCTTGAGCTACTGCCAATCCCAAGCCCGGAAAAAAGAAGAGAGTTGGGCATGAGGTTAACGGCACAATCACGTAAAAATCTAACTCGCTAAAAAACACGCTAACCAGAAAAAATAATTCAAATCATTTAAACTCTGCCCTGGAAGTACGAAGGTCCTCATTTAGAAGAGTTATGACGCCTCGTGGTGAAAGACGAGTTTCTTCGGAACTTACGAATTTGATGGCCCTTCTAACAACCAGAGCAACCACTAACTTAGGTCCATGGAATATTCGTACAATGTGGGAGACCGGAAATGAAAAGGTACAACCTGGAAGTGCTTCGAATCAGTGAAACACATTGGACGCAGGTTGGAAAACAAAGACTAACTTCAGGAGCACTGCTCTTATACTCCGACCATGAAGAAGAGAATGCTCCACACAGACAAGGAGTTGCACTGATGCTATCCAAACAAGCACGAAATGTACTTATAGGATAGGAATCTCACGGACCAATGATCATCAAAGCCTCCTTCAAGACAATGAATTTCATGCAATGTTATGCGCCTACCAACGACTACAATGAAGATGTTAAAGATCAGTTCTGCGATAGGCTGCAGTCCATCGTGGACAAATGCACAACAAAGGACTTGGCCATTCTGATGGGAGACCGAAATACCATGGTTCGAACGGACAACACTGGACATGAAGACATCATCGAACAACATGAACTGGGAGAGAGGAACGAAACCCATGTGCCTTCAGTAAACTGGTCATAGGTGGCACCATATGCCCACATAAACGCATACACAAAACCACATGACTTTCACCGAATCACACTACACAGAACCGAATCAATGATACCTGCATCGACAAAAAGTTCAGGAGAACGAATGAGGATGTGAAAACCAGGATAGGAGCTGATATAGCCTCAGATAATCACTTGCTGGTCAACAAGTCGAAACCGAAACTCCAGAAGCACTGGACAACATCAGTAATTTTTAATATGCCTTTTCTTCGGGATACAGACAAACCGAGCAAATTCAAGATAGCCCTCAGCAATGGGTTCTAGGTCTTCCACGATCTACTCGGAGGAGATGAGACTACCGTGAATGAGAACTCGATAGGGGTGGAAGAGGTAATCACATTTTACATGCCATGAGGCTCTGGGCCACAAGAAGCACTATCGCAAGCAATGGATCACTATTGATACAATGCATAAGATTTATGAAAGGAGGAACAAGAATGCAGCAATCAGTATCAGCCGAATAAGAGCAGAGAAAGCCAAGACACAGGCTGAATATACAGAGGCAGACAATCAGATGAAGAGGAGCATCAGAACCAACAGACGTAAAAATGTAGAGGATCTAGCAATGATGTCGGAAAAGGCTGCAGTAATTTTTAATATGGCCTTTCTTCGGGATACGGACAAACCGAACAAATTCAAGGTATCCCACAGCAATGGGTTCTAGGTCTTTCATGATCTCAAACAACACCATAGTCAGAATTTTCAATACAATTATCAAGATAGTTCTGCTGTATGGGGCGGGAACTTGGAGAACTACGAATGCCATCATCCAGAAGATACAAGTGTTTATTAACAGTTGTCTAGGCAAAACGCTTCGGATCTGTTGGTCAGATATTATCAGCAACAATCTACTGTGGGAGAGAACAATCCCGATTCAAGCGGAGAAAGAAATCAGGAAGAAGCGCTGGAAGTAGATAGGGTACACATTGAGGAAAGCAACGCAGTACGTCACGAGGCAAGCCCTCACATGGAATCCTCAAGGTCAAAGGAGAAGAGGAAGACCAAGGAACACATCAGGCTGAGAAATGGAGACAGACATGAAAAGACTAAACAACAATTGGATAGAATTAGAAACGAAGGTGCAGGACCGAGTGGATATGAGAATGCTGCCTAGAAGCTTGTGTGAACTGATAGTTTTCATTTTGATGATTTATTTTATTGTCTTAGTTTCAATCTTCACTACTTTTTCAGCTCCTTCAGATAATGTGAAAATATTATTGAGTAGACAGTAAATTCGAATAATAATTTTCGGTTGAATTTCAGGAATAATGACATGGGTGGTATGATGATTTTTACGAAAGTGTTGATGTATGCAACATTCACATCCAAGTTCAAGGGGAACAAAGAATGTAGGATGACTGTTTTAGATAAAGACGATAAATACCATTGAATATAACATTGAGAAATGCACCATAGGTATTCTTATGAATTACAGCAATTCGAATCTTCGACTTACTTGTGCAAACGAGAGGAAGAACAGTCGATCAGATTCAAGTGAATCATGGTTATCTTGGCTAACATTGTTCGAGAACGTCTTCAACAAACGCTTGTATGTCTGAATAAAGAATGTTTTGTTGCGTTAAATTTACTGTGATTGAGTTAGTGTTTTTGAAATCAACGGTCATAATACATAGTAGTAAAACACCATTTATAGTGAATAGGTGGTGTGTTTGTGAAACGCTTTTTGCGACGTGTTATCATAAAATAGTTTCTATCATGAACGATCAAAATAAACCTATGCACATTGTGCTGTATTTCATAGTTTTCATGAATCACGAACGAGAAATCGAGTAACAGAGTTATGTACCTAATTTAACCACCGAAAGAATCATTAACCAAGCTATTGAGTTTTCTGCTCATTGAATTGATTTCACAGAGATATTCCAAGTATGTTTGTGTGTTTTGTCCCCTTAATTTTATACTGCAAATCAAATTTGACGCTAATAAAATTTTGTACAAATACAGTTTCGATTATTGGACAGAACACTACGGACTGGTCGATTTTTGTTTTCATATCAGCAATTGTGAGATAACTGTTTGAGCTGAGTAATAGCAAAAGAATATTTGAAAGCGGACAAAGGAGCATATAACTCAGAATGTAGTGAACGTGGGACAAGCATATCAATGTTTTCTTAAATAGTCTATTAGGCTTTTAGTTACCCAATTATCAATCATATGGTAGGGTATAGAAAGCTAGAACAACGAACGTGATATCGGACCACTTTGTGAACCCCTATGTTTACCTGACAAAAATTAACATTTATTCAGAGAAGTAACTGTAAGATCCTTTGGTATTTATTAAATCTGATTGCTTTCTATGCTTTGGTGAGTCTACAAAATTTTCTGTGTTGGTCTCATAAATGACACACGATTAATAGTATACTTCATTTATCCATACCATATTTAGATTTTTGTTCATTGAAAGGAAATCATCGAACTACTCAAGATACACAATAGTATTCTGAGGACTGATATCTAGTTTCAGTGGTCATAAACAAAATTACACTAATTATCTGAATGTACTTACGTGGTACGACGCTTTTAATCCATCATTGTCAGCCAACATTTCTTCTTGAGTATCAGTGCGAAAAGCCTAAATCAATTGAACAATAAAGAGGCATGTGTTGTGTAAGATTGTGAACCTGAAATCGGAAATGCTCACAATCCTCTTTGTACACTGAAATGTTATATGGTAACTATACAACGTGACATTCCATGCGGCAGACTTTATTCTCTACAATAAGTGATAATGTCACGCAAACAGAAATACTTCCAATTTTTATGAATTAAGTGTTAGGTTAAATGACTCATGATCCTGTAGGCAAGTTTTCATGTTTAAAGAGTGTTTCATCAGTGGATGTATTAAAGTTTCGTAATCAGTGAATCCACTTAGTGATCATCATTGAATGAATGTGTATTTCATGAAATTCGTGTCAGACGATGACGATGTTTAACTGTGTTCTAAAGTCACTATTGATTAAAAGGAATTTCACTTCCGAACAAAAACATGCTAGTAACTAGTCTGAATTAATTTTCTACTCTTTTTTTCAATTTCTGTAGTATTTCGAAAAACAGTTTATTCAAAATAAATCACATAACAATTTACGAAATTATGAGTAAGTTTCGTCAAACATAGCGAAACAAAATTCTTAAAAAACAGGTCTTCAGTGTACAAGAGTGATATTCGGCTGGACAATCTAAGTTAATTTTGTTATATCCGAGCAAAAATGAAGGGATAGTAACTTTCTGGCGAGCTGTCATGTGATTTTGCAACCTCAAGTGGTGTCCGACAAAGCTGTCCACTATCTTCGTTTTTGTTCAATTTGATCACCTACTGCTAGAAATAACGTTCTAGTTGTCTGAATTTTCTAAGATTGATCTGCCAGGAGGTCCACTTATTGACTTAGAATACTCATATGACATAGTCCTGTTTGGTGAAGACGCCGATAAAATACAGAGATCTGTTTTAATTCACGGCTTCGAAAAGTGCCTGCTAAGGGTAGGGGATACTCGTAAGTTACTAGTATTTGACCATAGATGTCTTATAAATATTGCCAGCATCTGCTGGGATCAGCTGGTAAGTAATAGTGAGGTTGGACTAGGAGTACTAGGGAATGACGGTAAATCAGTTGATGAAGTTGCGAATCTTCATCGACTGAGATGGCTGGACCACGTATTGCACATGGAGACGGATAAACAATGTGAGTATGAGTCCTACCCTCGTTGCGTATCGGTTCCTTAAGGTCGTCTATGGGTTTCGGTCGCAGCTTGAGCATAACATTCATAGCACCGTTTGATTCTTTTATGATGAACTTGACTAGTAGAACACATTAAAATAGTTTTGTTTTAACATACTTTTAACTCCACCTGTAGCTCTTCTAGAGGTACTGCCGGTCCCAAGCCCGGATGAAAGAGGAGAGTTGGGCATGGGTTAGTGACCCCATCCTGTAGACGTTAACCACTAAAAAATAATTCAAACCATTTAAACTCTGCCTCAGGAGTTAGGAGGTCTTCATTTAGAAGAGTTATGACGCCTCGTGGTGAAAGACGAGTTGCTTTGGAAGTCACGAGGCTGATGCCCCCTTCTTGAAACCACAGCAACAATTTCTATAGGTACATGGAACGCCCGGACAATGTAGGAGACCGGGAAAACCAGTCAAATAGCGACGGAAATGGGGAAATACAAATTGGCAGTACTGTGACTCAACGAAACCCATTGAACCCAAGCTGGACAACAAAGGCTAATTACGGGAGAGATGCTATTATACTCCGATCACGAAGAGGAAAATGCTCCACACACTCAGGGAGTTGCTCTAATGTTGTTGAAAGAAGCACGAAACTCACTTTAAGGATGGAAATCTCACGGATCTAGAATCATCAAAGCATCATTCAAGACAAAGAAGGAGGGGATCACAATGAATATTATCCAGGGTTGTGAACCCACCAATGATAGCAATGACGACATTAAAGACCAGTTCTACGATAGGCTGCAATCAATCATAGCGAAGTGCCTAAGAAAACACCTCACCATTTTGATGGGAGATCTATACCCGAAAATCGAAGTGGACAACAGCGGATATGAAGATATCGTGGGACGACTTGGACTGGGAGCGAGAAACGAAAATGGGGGAAGATTTGCAAATCTGTGTGCATTCAGCAAATCGGTCATAGGCGGCACAATATTTCCACACAAACGTATACACAAAGCTACATGGATCTAACCGGTCCACACCATAGAGAACCAGATAGATCATATTTGCATCGATATAAAGTTTCGAAGGACAATGGAAGATGTGAGAACCAGGAGAGGAGCTGACATAGGTCCAGATCCCCACCTAGTTTTGGTGGACAAACAGCACTACAAAAGTTCAATACAGCCTTCCTTCGAGATACTAAGAAACTCAATAAATTCAAGGTAACTTTCGACAACAAGTTCCAAGTCCTACAGGATCTACTGAAGGAAGGAGAAACTACCATGGAGGAAAACAAGTGCCGACGGGCTGGAAAGAAGGACACCATCAAGATTCCAAAGAAAGGAGATCCGAGCAAATGTGAAAATTGCAGAGGCATCATACCGCTGTCAGTACCAGAGAAAGTCTTCAAAAGTGTTTCTGAACCAGACGAAAGACGCAGTAGACACGCAACTTCGAGATCAACAAGCTGGATTCCGTAAGGATCGGTCGTGCGCAGACCAAATTGCAACACTACGGATCATCGTCGAACAATCAGTTGAGTGGAACTCGTCACTATACACCAAGCTCATCGATTATGAGAAGGCGTTTAACAGTGTAGATAGGAGGACATTATGGAAACGTCTTCGACTCTGTGGAGTTCCTGAGAAGATTGTCAACATTGTCACGAACTCATGCGACGGACTACAGTGCGAGCAGGTGCATGGAGGACAGCTGACAGATGCATTCCAAGTAAGGACCGGAGTCAGACAAGGCTGTCTACTCTCTCCCTTCCTCTTTCTTCTGGTAATTGACTGGATTGTGAAGACCTCGACATCTGAGGGAAAACACGGAATACAATGGACAGCTGAGAACCAATTAGACGATTTGGACTTCGCAGATGACCTAGCCCTCCTATGTCATACACACGAACAAATTCAGATAAAGACAGCCAGTGTATCAACAGTGTCTGCATCAGTAGGCCTCAACATACGCAAAGGGAAACCAAGGTCCTCAAGTACAACACAGAGAACACCAATCCAATCACACTTAATAGCGAAACTCTGGAAGATGTGGAATCCTTTACGTACCTGAAAGAATCATCGATCAACGAGGAATATCAGATGCAGACGTAAAGGCGAGGATTAGCAAAGCGATTCCTACAATTGAAGAACATATGGAATTCAAGAAAAGTGTCAACCAATATTAAAGTCCGAATCTTCGATACGAACGTCAAGACATTCCTACTGTACGGGGCTGATACTTGGAGGACTACTTCAACCATCACCAAGAAGGTACAAGTATTTATAAATAGTTGTCTACGCAAGATACTCAATATCCGTTGGCCGGACACCATCAACAACAGCCTTCTTTGGGAGAGAAAAAACCAGCTTCCAGCTGAGGAGGAAATTAAGGAAAAACGATGGAAATGGCTAGGAAATGCACTACGGGAATCACCAAACTGCATCACATGACAAGTGTTAACTTGAAATCCTGAAGGGAAGTGAATAAGAGGAACACCAAAGAACACATTACGTTGGGAAATAAAAGTAGATATGAAAAGGGTAAATAACAACTAGGAATAGCTGGAAAGGATTGCCTGGGACAGTATTGGATGGAGAGTGCTGGTGGGTGGCGTAAGTTCCCTAACGAGGAGTAACAGGCGTAAGTGGGTTGATGTACTCTTACTGTTATTTGTACGGTATATGAAATCGGAAAAGAGAGCAATAACTGGTGTCACATTTAATGGTAAGTTCATTTTCCAATATTCTCAAACGTTTTAAGTAAAATACAATTTAAATGAAGTTGGTAACATCACTTGATGATTATGGAAAATTTTTGTACTTAATAACCTATGACTATACAAAATCTCAGTAAATATTTATATGTTCATATTTATAATTTAACTAAACTTACTTTTAAATGAGTGTAATTATAGGAAACATACTGATGACTCAGACATACAGTCTTCAAATGTATCAAAGTGGATGACATTAAAGCATCGTACGAAGTCCGTTTATTCCAATTCTCATCATACAGTACACCTTGAGATACAACGAAACTAATAGGTTATGTTTATTGAAATTGTAATCAATTTTAACATAATTGCTAGTGTGTATATAGAGTAGAAAAAAGAGAAAGCAGAAATCAGTGCATATTTCTTTGATAATCACCAGTTTTTACATCAATCGAAATGAAAGAGTAAAATAATGAGATTGTTGGAAACTAATACAACAGACATAAAAGGTGATGGGTGGTGGTTGGAGTGGAATCCACAATACGAATTTCTTTCTATTTATGACTCGTTAGTTAGACGAACCTATATCCCAGCTCTGCTTATAATGCTTACGACCTAAGACAATATCAAGCCGATCCTCACAAAATGCACTTATGCCAATAAGAAACCAATACATTGCAGTCCTAAACATCAATGAGAAGATTCAAACAATCAGTACTAAAATGAAATTAATATCAGGACAAGAGCAGTCTAATGTTGTATGCGAAAACGAGTCTGATATTCAGTGTATGATAATAGAGTAATACTCAGTATCAATTAGTCGGTGATTTATAGAATAAAATGATTTGCGAAGTTTGGAAGATTATAATCATGGAAACTAATAAAAACCAAATTATGAATCACGTAATTCATTGATTTCTAATGAAAGTTTCCACTACCTAAATGTATCTTCAATTCATAGTGAGTGTACTCTCGTGAGACGTGGATCGATGACACAAACGAGCTTTTCAATCAGTTGTTACAAGTAACCGATATGAGTATGAACTAAGCTGACATGGATGTGGTCAAGTATTTGATAGTCAAGCTGAAAAGATTTAATATTTCGTTCGAAGCACAACTAAACTAAACTAGACTAGTTGAAGCCAATCTACAAATCGCTGCATGGTATCACAAGCAAGGTGATTTATACATTACTGAACTAAACTGGAACTTCCACCTGTAATTATATTTGAATTTGTAAATATTGTGACGATTGATTAATGGATTCTTTCTATTCATATTATAGTGAATTGTCGTGAGATCGCCCTCCTTTCTGTGATTTGCTGATTTCGAGAATGTATCGATACAGGACACAGGTGGTATTTTGTGATTCCGTAATCGTAAAACGCTTAATACTGACATGTGGAGATTGTACAGGATGACAAAATATTATTCGGATATTACGTGATGTTTGTCCATAAGGTTAGTTTTAACAAATGAACAACAAACTGAGATCGTCAAACTCAGGATGTTGACATTTTGTTGATCAGCAGAACAAATGATTCTGATTAATACACCTTAGTAATTAGTCAAATAGTAAATTTCTCTATGAATTCACTAGACAGTTAAATGATATTGTGGTTTTATGGACAGTGTTATACCGAAAGTAATAGTTTTATACAAGTTAATTAATATTACTTTTAAGAAACTGAAAATTTAGTATAGTGATTGAACAAACCTTGGATACCTATTCCGTGCATAATCTCATGACTTATAATCCAACCAAGTGCTCCGAATTTCGAAGCTAAACTACCATTTTCATAATAAAGTGGAGGTTGTAGAAATCCTGAATATACATATACGCGATTTGCACCCGCTGAATAATAAGCTGTTGCAAGAAATGCCGGTGATCCTATGAGAGATCTGTTCACAAAAATATAAAGGTTTGGTTATTTCACACGTCGTACCATTTCATTAAAATTTCCCATTTTTTACATTTCATCAGGTAATCATTTCAAGATTACTATGGTACGAAATGTCTGGTATTTCAGTTTTATCACAAACTAGCATGGATTATATTACATGATACTTCATGAACCGGTGAATGAAGCGGTTTTATTTATACAAAAATTGGGTAGAAACTGGTATGTCAGTTTACAATATGAGATTATGGAATCAGAATAAAAGTAATTTTTTACAACCGCTTTATTAATATGGATTCTAATATTCAAATTAAATATCCGTGATTTCCTAAACAGCCAGTAAGTAACTAATCAGTTCAACTTCTGTACTTATAGAACTAGGAGGTTTGCTGTTTGAAAGATTTAGATCATTAGTGATTATTTTACATAGATTATTGTCTGTTATTTGGGTTTACATTAGTAAATAGTATCAAATCTCCTAAAGACAAAAATATAAAGACGTTATATGATATAATAGTAGTTGTAATAATAATAATGGACAATTAGCATTTGTCGTTTGGGTTATAAAATGAATGAAATCTTCTTACTTCATTACCACCTTGAATAATGTAATGAAGGCACAGAAAGTTTACTTAGGGAAACTGATTTGTACATCCTTCTGTTTTCTAAGATTTTAATTAGCATATTCGTTACAAGATTTAGAGGGAAGATGTCCAAACACGAACCAAACACACATTAAATCAGTCCACGAAATCAATTTGAGTTCATGGTAATGTGGGTTCTATTCAGTAGAAGGCATCAATCCATAAGATAATTTTGATTAAAGAATATTCAAATCTTTGCAGTTAAATAATAAAATTAACAATTTGTGATAACTTGTATTGTTTCTATATCAGAGATATCATGACAACTTACGGGTAATAACTGTGTAACTGAGTTTTCAAAGTGTCAATATATTTCGCTTTACGGATGTAGAATTCATTTGTGTAATAATTGTCCTCTCGAATAGGGTACTAAATATTATTTGTGTAAAAAAACATTGACTGCGATCATTTAAAAGATGTTTAAAGCACGTTCTATACATTCTGTTTTCCAGTTTATTGAGTAAGTATTTCTGAATCAATGGTTTTGGGAAAATGCAGTGTCATTGAAGGAACATTTCGGATTTTCATTGTCAAGCTAACCATTGTCACGTAAATTGACTTTCTTCAATTTGTAACGCCGAGTTACCGAAATGATTTGACTAATGCATAAAACTGTGCGAATAGTCCTCGTGTGATTATAAATTTCATCACTTAATGATATACACACAACCTTGTAGTGTGACGAGTTTGTAAATGATTTTGTACATGCATCCAAGTAGTTGAATTATGGTGAGATTGATGTGTAGTTTTTGATGACCAGTAGATTGGTCCATAAATTGACCGATATATTTGAACCTGTTAGGGTTTAACCTCTGAGTTGCCGAACTGCAGAATAAAGACCAGTGAGTTGAGGTTTCTCTACCACGTAATGATTGAGGCAAACCAATGTTGCTTGGAAATGTGAAATATGGTTTTATTACTATAAGTGTTATCAATGATGAGTTCTAGGAATAACGGTGTCTTGTAAGTTTCACATGTCTCCTCGGTGATAACCGGAGTTATTTTGTGTAGAATTAGCTTATTATTATATACAATGATGTATAATATAACCAGTTTTCAATAAAATAATCATTAGTTGTATCAAATGGACATGTAAAATAATTTATTTTTCAATAGTGAAATATGTGTAGTTAACTTACTTGGAATACTGTTGAGAGATTTTCTTTTTGTTGAGAAGCATTTTGATTGGAGTACAAGGCAAATATACCCATTTTTGAAACCTACAATTTTTCATAACAATCAGTTATCTTACTAAAACTTAAACAAACCCTGTGTTTCTGGAATCTCTTTTCTTCTTCATCATACCACTTAGTTCTTTGTATTGAGATAGTGATAGTGAGTTTAATTTCGTTAAACATATTGATCACCTGTAATTGAGTGAAAATTAATCGAATTGAGAAAGTGTATGTCATGTTTGAAAATTATTGTTCCACAAAATAATAAGCTTGTCATATGCATTAACGCTTTTCACCAATTCTAGGAGCAGCCTTTTAAATAATCTTGGCAGCTTTTTGTTTGGAAGGAGCTACTTTAGGCTTTTTTTCTTTTCGGCATTTTTCACCTTCTCCATTTCTTTTTGCTTTTGTTTGTTTTTCTTTAGCTGCACGTAAAAGTGGTTGTAACTTCCTTAGCTGAAAGAATTCTAGTGGTCGTACCTTTCCGTTACTCCCATTATTATTATTCTCATCATTACACTAACACACTAATCTGTGGTCGTTATTTTTCTTTATTATACGTAACTTACATTCTTATTATCTTCCCATCCTCATTGTTCTGTGTTGCGCATATATACCTAGTTAACTCTTGTATCAATATTTATGTGCTCAAATAAAATAAAATAAAAAGAGATAATTTATGAGATCCGAACATGGGCGTATCTTTAGCGTGATCCTAGCAATACAGTTGTAGGTTCATAGCAGGTGATTGTATTATATCAACTGTCCTACAACCAATTTCGATTATGGTTAATTTTGGTTAAGCTCTTTTATTGACTTACTTGACAGACAATGTTATTTGAACAGTAACAATTTGCATATCTCTTTGTACCGTTATGATCCCTAGATCTCATGACAGACTCTAGCTAAAGAGTGAATATCTTAAATGTCACTCGATGATTCATCCTCCTCCCCATGTATGCATGTACTCAAATCCTATTATTAGTCCTTACTTTGTCGTGCTGTGCACTTATTCGATTTGACTATAAATTTGCCTCTGTATTTGCTCGCATAAACATATTCGCTTCTCTGCTTCAAATTCGTTTAATATACTTATAGCATTGTGATCTGCGCTATCTGCTAATAAACTGCAATTGCCGCTTCTCATTGCCTTCTGATTTCAAACAACGTTGATATTTATATAATAACGGTTGCGAGAGTGATTGATTAACAAAGCTATGCCACTACAGTATGATGGATTTTGGTTTTTCAAATCGACCATTGTTCTCTGTTCATCAAGAATATGTTTTTGATATTTAAATTGTGTACCAATATACAGTCTAGCAGAGTAGCTTAATAAGATCATTTGGATGGATATTAGAATCTGTGTTTTATATGGATTTGGTGAGAAACATGGTATACAGGTGATAAAAACATTTTGAGTGGCTAGGTACGTTTAACTAACATCATAGATAGTTCCCTACTCTTACTAAGTTGTACTATGTTACATTTAATCTTGGCAATGTAATGTAATGTTTACAATAATAAAGTCTCGTCCCATATTGTTCGAATGATTATTGCACAGTGTAACCCCTAGATCTCAAAAGAGACCACACCAGTGATCACAATTCGTAGGGATTCTGAAGATTATCTGAAAAACAATCAGCAGATTTGACCATTTGATATAATTCATGTAGGAACGTATATCCGAAATCGAAAGAATAATTTCACAACTGTTGAGGGACAGGTTTGTAGGTGATGTCGAAAGTATGAAAGTGTTTTGGAAATTCTCATGAATTAACATCAAAGTAACCCTAATTTTCGCATCATAATGTTTGTCAGTATGAAAAGTAACCAAAGACAATTTTATTTAACACAAATACAGTTTGTGCTGAACGCTTATTATTTTAAGATGTTGAATATCATTTTTTGTGAGGTGTGCTCTAAATTGTGCTATTCGGAGATATTTGTTTATGTTTATGTAATTTAAGTCAAAAAGTGTAGTATTCTCTTGATTTAAATAATTTTAACCTTCGAATATGAATGGTCGACTGTTGGGTATATAGGGGTTTCTGTCAATATTCCTGTAAATTTATGTAAATTTCGATTATTCTCTCAAAGAATCTCAAAACATAATTCTTAACAAAAGTTACCAACATTTCAAATTTTACTACAATGATGTCTACAAATATTTCTTTTAATATAATTGATGTTTAGAATGAAAAACAAGATTTTTTCAATAGTTAAGTGGGTTTCTATCTCTGGAGACACTGATTACTTATACCAAGATGAGTAATCATGGTGTTTCATCATTTGGATAAGTAAAATGATTGGATGTTCATACATTTGTGTTCACATATTAATAGCAGTAGAACGAACTTGGATGACGTCATCCATAGTGTTGAAATGGTAATCACCATATTGAGTTCCATTTATCCATTTATGGACAGTTAAACTCTGTCATCGATTACAAGCCCATCCAAGATAATAAATTAAGAGTAATTTTCTAAATATATCTTATATCCGACTTCATTTACCATCACTCTAATACAAAGATGTTTGTTCACTGTAGTGTTTCTACTAGCCTATCATGAAATAAAGCACTATGTTTACAACTGTTCATTGTTAAAAAATGAACGATTTTTCATTATGGTAAGTAAACTATACCACAAACAATCATCAATAACTGCATTCTGGTTTACAGACTAGAAAACAAACTATATGTACGCCCGGTTTTCATGATCACTTGTATCATGATGGATGATGATTTCTAGAATAAACGGGAAATTCGGAATTAAAACACAAAGCCGACTGTAACAATGTGATAAATGCTATGATTTTGTAAAATTGTCAGTTAGATGCGCATTACAAACATACAATCTATAATGATCTAACAAGAATTGAGCAACAAATTGTCTATCACTCAGGATTAATTTACTCTGAAATAGAATGCTGTTCAATATAACTCGTCTATACTTAATTGAAATAAAGTGTTTTGATTTGTATTGTCAGTCGTTCAATAAAAGCTGATAGAATTGGTGGTTGGATTGAGTTTACCAGAACTGCTTCAATGGGATCTATGTAGTTCACAGACTGTATCCAGAAAGATGATATTAAGATCACCAGTTATGTATGTTACTCAAATTTTGTAAAAGAGTAATGTATGATATTTCCATTTTACTCAGGTGTGTAATCCACTTAAAATGGATAGGTTTCGTTCGAATCCGATAATCAAGTTGTAGATCCTTGTATATATAAGGAATTCTTCAATCAGTGAATTAGTTGTTACTAGAAATCTATTTGCATTGTCTCATTTCATCATGTAACGATTTCATATTATCGCTAAGCGTGTCTACCGTTCAAACATTGTAGATAAGTGAAATATGACATGAACCAACCTCTGTTTTGTGTGTTTTGTTTACATGCGAACGGATATAATGTCTTTCAAGCGTCCATGGAAATGCATCCTTCAACCGATTTATACATTGCTCATCAAAATGTGGCTGTGAAGCTATTTAAAATAAAGTGAAATAATGTTATGTTGTGAGAGGATCAAATGAATTTATAAAAGGACGGACCGGAATCAGTGAGTGTGTCAACAAATATAAAGTTGATCTTGATATTCCCCATGAAACAAATGACACTATCGTTCAAATCATTGTTTACAGATCTAGTGTTCATGACTACTTGTATACTCAATCATCGTATACTTGCTTCAACACTAAGTGCAGAAAGAATATATTCAAAATAATGTTTAATTAATTAGGTGTTTACGTCCACTACATTGCTTTGAATATCAGGACGTGCTTCAAAGTATACTTTAGATAATTACTATTTCAAGTCATTTCGCTTCTAACAATATGACTGAAAATGACAGTGATGAATAAATGTACATTGGTTCAGGGATGATGTATTACGTTGATGGGATTTGCAGAGTATACTGGATTTGTTCATATATGAATATGTCTACTGTTGAATTATGCTGGCAGAATACAATAGGAAGTTTTGTTTCGATTAGTAACTATTGCCTTGTTTATTTATGTGGTTTCTATTGATGAATAACATTTTTATACTGGTTATTAGTATATTTATTGATGCTAGCAGTCAGTGATTATCAAGTGTTTGACGTTAACTTCATTCATATGCTCAATAATTTCGACATCACTGGTGACCTTAGATCATATAAATTAAGAATATCATACTTTTTAAGTGTATAAATTTGCAACACATGAACAGTGGCAGAGCGTTTCTAGTAATGAAGACCGTCGACATACAAAGTTTGTTCGCTACCGATCAACCTATCTCTTTGTTGTTACTCTGACAACGGTTATAAACTGATATACTGTACCTTTTAATCACAGTGTATAAGAAATTAAGCTCAGTATTTTCATTTTCAAAGCATTGTGAAGGTCGTTATAACTTGTGAAAAGATGTTTGTTTCCTAAGGGTACACATTTTTCTCCGTACATTATTCTTGAAGAACTAAAACATGAATAAGTGCGTTAGTAGTTTAGTCGTTTAGCATCAGAGCGGAAAAGCAGTTTTTAATTCAATCCGCACCAAACTCCACTTTATTATACATTTACCTGTTCAGAAGTATAATTATGTATTATAGTAATGGTGAATAAATACATTTTCAAACTAACATTACTGTCCACTAGTATATATTTTAGGGTCGATAAGTGATATTAAATGTCGTTATTCCAGTCGTTCTTATAAACAGTTCAGTGCAATAAAATCGTTGAATTACATAGAGAAACGTGGTTAGAAATTAAATGTCACGTGGATAACCGCTTCATAGTCTCATCATTGACTTTAATATGGATATTTTACAGTAACGAGTAATTAAATCAGTATATTATTACCAAGTGACATTCTCGATTTAACAGTTTGGAAATGAATATATGTCTTATCAATTAATGTCAGTCATCAAGATTGTCTATTACGAATAATCACTTCATGATTTCTTTGCCGAAAATTTCACTTAAATCCAATTCCCATCTAGTTAACAGAATATGTTTCTTCAAAACGGGTTGCAATATAACGAAAACGGGTAA